CAAGTTCTGTACACTACTGTTATCCCAAAGCTGTATTCTAATAATATTTATTTCAAATCAAACACATGACTCTAACACAGGACACTTCCTTGCACTATAATAGCTTTGCCATTGTCTTACATGAAATAGCCAGACACAAGCCAAAAGAGAACAAGGATCTCTGAATGGAACTGTTTTAAGAAGGGAAAGACTACTCCCAAAGGGAAGTACTACCTGGAGTAGTTGTGTTAATTCCAGATTCTGTAAGAGAATGCTTTTAAAAGGCAGATCATATCCACTGAAAATAATTCTACCTGTTAAATAATCTGTAGATTATTAAAAATCTACTTAACTAAGCTTAAAAAAAATCAGTTTGTATAAGGGCGTATAATAGCATACCTAGTTTATTAACAACAGTTTAATGACTAATAATGGTAGAAAAAAATACAAGCTCTCCAAATGTATTCTCCAAGTTCGTATTTTTTAAATTAATGAATTCCAGAATTTCCTCAAAATATTTCCAAAGGTACAAGTTTCAGAGATGTGGTTCTAAAGATGACTGTATCCTCTAGAGGGGTGCAGGGAAATCCTCCACTTGTTTATTAGTAAAGAAGCATAGTCTCCTTTGCTTACTGAATTGCCTTCCCCATTAACCCTGCTTCCAGGAGCTGCAGACGGCGCTGCACCTCAGTCGGATTTTCTTTTCTCCCAAGATTTCCTACCAGGGTGCTGCTCCACCTATGCCTCCTTCCCTCTTATTCTGGTTCAATGATCACTACCAAAATCCTTACAGTCTCATCACTGTAAACGCCAGCTCATGTCCAGACTCTCTCAATTATAAAAGACTAGAGGGTCAGGAATGGATCCTCTCTGTAGCCTTACTGGTATTTCACTTGGAAAGGATATATACAACTGAGATTATGGGTGGGTAAAAGCTCTTCTCAACTACTCATCCACAGCAGGATCACAGAGTAGTTATAACAGGAATGTGTGTCCCGTAGTGATAGAGGGATATGCATTACAGACTGTAAGATTTAGACTAGTATTAAATAAGCACCTTATTAAATGAAAGATTTTTCTGTGTGAAGTGGGAGGGGTGCAGCTGGAGACACATGTCCAAAGGGGATAAAAGGCAACCTCAATGGCAAAGTAATAAGTAAAATGTCAAAACTAGTGTAATACTATCAACAGAAAAATTATTTTTCACCTACAAGAAAACATCTCGGGGATCATTGAAAATGAGCTGAGCATTTGAGGCCACAAGTGCTCAACTGGAGGTAGAGAGGTGATAAATATGACAGAGAAAGACAGCAAAAGAATGTTGTGGCAAAAAAATGTCTATACATAAGTGTCTCAAAGATTTGATGAAGAGGGTTATGTCATGCCATTAAAAAGAGGAAAAATAATAAAGCAGAAGGCAATCGGATACTCTTAGATAGTGATGACTCATGGATATAAGGAATTTTTGGTCTCTTTTGGCTAGAAAAGATCTACTTTATTTAAAGCATTTAATTTAAAATATAATGGTTGTCTGGTATATGTATTTGTACCAGGTTGAAGCAACACAGCATTAGCCACTTTAAAACAATGTTTCATAAATCGAATTTTACTCTCTGAGTCAAAAACTTATGGTATCATCAAATCAATATTACTACTTGGTGATCATTGCAATTAGAATGGCATAAATTCTCAAAACTGAAAATCTAGAAAATTGGAGAACAAATCAGTAAAGGGTAACACTAGCTCAGGAAAGATATATAGGTTTGTGGAGACACTCTTGCTACCATCAGATAAATTACTCTTGAACATTTGAACCAAGTTCTCTTTAGAGAGTGGAGAATATTACAATATCCTTTTTTTGAATAGTGGCATTACTCAAAAAGCTTGTTTTCATGCCAGATAACACACCGTTCCCAATGAAATATTATGCTAATATCTGGAGAAACTTATTTCTGTAAAATGGTCCTAGAATGTTGCCTATATTACTTGAGGGCTATATTTCAGGAAACATATGACTCCATACTCATTTTTTCTTTGGACTGTTATGTGTTTTCAACAGAACTTCCAAAATATACTGGCAGCCTGTTGAGTTACAATGATTATAAAAAAATCATGAAAATTAAACAGGAGTAAGTTGCTGTGTAAATTAGCCTATTTATAGATTTATCAAAACTAAACATTACCAAAATTTTTATTAATTCAATTCACATGTATTTAATAGAAAACTTTTACGTGTCTTCATAGGTTTGACTACATAATATGAAATGTCTGTGGTTTGGATTACAAAAAACCAAAAAATATTTGGCTCTGCTTATTTAAGGAAAACATATGAAAGGAAGAATTACCTTCTTACTTAGAAGCAAACCACTTAGAATCATCCAGGTTCATCATCTGTGCCTAATGGTAGCCAACATGAGCAAACCACTTAGAATCATCCAGGTTCATCATCTGTGCCTAATGGTAGCCAACATGAGGCTGGCCCTGAAACAAAGAAATTATAGGCAAAATTATTGCCCCAAATCCATGCAGGTAATACCAACTATATCTTTTTTATACAAAATTTGGCACACATGTTGTTAGCCAAAAATTCTACTCTGAGAAAATACAGAAATTTAAATTCCGCTCTCAGTTTTGAAATACAATGTGAGTCTGAAGTGCCATACTGTTTAAAATAGATTTTGCATCACATTGAGGCATTGTAACCTTCAACAATACTGAAATGTGACTGTTTTATACACATAATACCTGAATATGAACCAACAGTATTAGTATGTTTTTATAGTTAAAAGTATTTTAAGATGCCAAAGAAACAGTAGGAAACTCGAAAGATGCTTTTTCTGCCTTCAATAAAGATAATGGCTTCCATTTTAGATTACAAGAATTTATTCCTCTTTTTCTGTTTTTGTGTTTGTATCACTATACACGTAGTTTAACCAGAATAGATTTTTCGATTTTTGATGGTGAGACTTTGATCCATTCCCTTCATCCAGAGGCTCTTTTAGAGCTGAGCTTCCTGTTATTTTAAAAAAAAAAACAAAAACAAAAAACCCCAAACAAACCTGGAGAGAGAAAAAGAAAAAAAGCAGCAAAACTTGGAACATGTTGTAATTCAACCATGCATGTGAATTTTCTTTTTTTTTCCATCAAACAGCAACTGCAGACTGAAAAAACTCCATTCTCTTTTAGATTTTTAACTCATCTTTTTGATTGGGTACAAAACTTTTAGAGTTCTGGCTTTCCATGAAAGAGAACTAAGACTTAACAGGGTATTGAATTCCAAAGGGAGGGTAGTAAGATCGCAGTAACAGAGGAGATGGTGTGGTTTAACCTGGCAGCCAGCAATGAATCACTAGGCAGCTGCCTGCTCAGGCAGTCTCCTTCTACGAGAAAACTGGCAAGACTGAATGCCTCAGCAGTTCTGTTCATGTCCGAAAGACGCTCCACGGGAGAGCCATCTTGAATGGAAATACAATTATACAGATTCATTTCAGCTCCCTTTAGGAGTGCTTGGCTTTGTTGTCCGGGGAGGCAGGAGGGGGTAAATACCCTGGACAGGCACAGCCCATGCAGGTGGAAATCAATGTCGATAACTTTAGAAGAAGTGGGATTATCAAAATTTCAGTTCAAGAATTGTGTCTATGTGTCCATATACTATACACAAATATGTGATATGTCTATCTGTACATAAAAAAAGTTCTTTATTTCCAGAAGACATCTGCTTTTAGACATAAAATATTTCTTAAAGGACTGCGTGCTATTTAAATGAGTCCAAAATAATAACATTTTAGAGGTAAGGTACCAAAGAAGGCAAACAAACAGCATTAGGAAGATCAGGGCTGTTCAGACCAGCAAGAGAAAAATGTTTCTCACTGCCAAAGGCATGGGAGATGTTTTCCACATCCACCTCTATTTGCTGTACAATTACACATGACCAGGACAGACGCTGATGCTTCTTTGAAGTAGCTGTTGCGTATTTTATCAATGCTATTATTCAGCGCTAAATGCACTCGAAGCAGTGCTGGTGATCGTGGGCATTGTAGGTTCTTGCCTTTCTGCACTACCGAAAACAGATCACAGCCATCCTGCTGAGATGCACCTTGTGATCTGTGTGATCGTAGCCATCATTGCTGACTGCCAGTGCTACCAGGCACTGGTGTGTGTGAAGCACCTCAAAATAGACTAACACATCCTCAAACTTCCCGACACATCCTTATGCAAAATAATACCACTTTCTGTGTTACTTGCAGTAATCTCGGGTGAGAGCTTATTGTTATTACGAGGGTAATAGAGTCTGGATGGGAAGGATAAGTGACATTTAAGTATCTCTTATCTGATGAGGATTTAAATTTACGAATGTTGAGGAACTTAGTTAGAGCTTCCCACACAATCTATGGTTATGGTTCCCATAGCTTTAAGGACAAATCTTGCTTAGCCATATTGCATTAGGTCCAGGGCAGAATTTCATTTACACAACTTACGAATTCTATAAATCATAGCATTATGCGGTTTAAATCGGGAAAAATCATTTTACTATACTGCTAATCTGAAGGTTTAATTTCCCTTTTGTCTCTGAAGGCAAGTTCAGAGATGTCCTCCAGAAATGGAATTACTTTGGCCAGAGTCCATCATTTCCATCTGCTCCTCTCGCTCCTCCTCGCACACCCCATGCTACACTGAGGCCTGCTAAGGCAGAAGCAAGCACCGGCCCTTCTTTTCCAAAGTGATGGTTGAGCAATGCAGTGTCTTACAGCTTGAAGTTTCCATCTCAACAACTGCATGATTGCTAAAAACTGCAGACAGAGAAGTCATAAGCCAGCTATTGAGCATGATTTGGTTTTCAAGGACTGCTGTAATTTGTTTCATCTCTTCCCAGTTGATACCCAAGTTTTGGCTGTTTTCCTTTGGACTTTGAATACCTCCAAGTTTGGAGGCTCCACAGCCTCCCTGGGCAACCTGTTGCAGTGTTCAACCATCCTCGCAGCAAAAAAGGATTTTATGAAGTCAGGAAGCATCATACATACCAATGCGAACCCCATCATCCCAATAAAGCTGCCCTTCTGCAAACAGAGCGTCATTCAAAGCGACAGTGAGTCCCATGGGGTTTTTTCGGCTATGGAAAACAGCATAATGTTTCCTCAGTTTCCTCAGCTAATCACATTTTGTATTTACAGAAGGTTAGAATTTTTAAAGAAATACTGTATGCCACTCAATTGATCTCCCTTAATCATCTGCCTCAGCCCATACCATTAAATTAAATGACACCAGTAGGAGGAAACCAAAAAGAGAAGCCAACCATAAAGTTCCAGTGCTATCATACATGTAGCTTCTCTGAGGAGTGTTAGTATTTATATGTGATTGTGCAAAACTAGATTTTAAATTTTCATTTAATCTTACCTGTAAAAAGTTGTATTAGCAGGTCTTGCCAAGCAAGGATGTATCCACCTCGGATGTGCAGGGTGATGTTTTCCAAAGGAGCTGGTAAAATTCTGAGTTGTCCCCTAAAGACAATATCTTCATCCTATTTATGAAAAAATAAAAAAGTCTTCTACAGAATTTCTCTCACTTTACCATTTTTTTTACTATGAAATAATAATTTTTGATAGACAGATTAATTAGGAGATGTTACTACAAATCCTCTTTATAGTCAGGAGGGTTGTAACTACAGAAGTTTTAGTGGAAATTCCTGATACAGGTGGCAAAGGAGTCACACTTACTCATGGAGTATGGCGCGGACCAGAGTGCTGCCATGGGCATGGGCATGATACATTAATGTGTAGAGATAGGGTAACAGGGTGTATCTTATATTCAGCACGTTCCTGGCAATCTCCTCAAATGTTGAGTTCCAGGAAGCGGGATCTTGCCTCTGAAAGGGGAGAGACCACTGTTAGTCAAGCTGGATTGCTTCGTTCTGAAAACCTAGACAAGAAGTCAACACAGGAAGACAAAGCTGAGGAAATTTCTCCTCCGAACTAGAGCACCTTCATCTATTTATTCTTCAATTAAGCAGTAAGTGACACTAAAAACAGCAGGTGTGACTGTCAGCCCACAGAGGGACACTAGAGAGAGGGAAGGTGAGAAAAACCTCAGGGGAGGGGAATTAGTGTAAAATATGTGTAATGCAAAGTGTCCCGGAGGCGTGCCGCATCCCAGAGTACATAATTTATCATCCCTCTTTTCTGCAGCGCAGCACTCAGGACTTGCAAGAAGAGACCGAAGCGCTAATGACTGATGTCAGGGAGCATTTCCAATCTTTATTAAATGTATTGAACAATACCTTGGCAAATTGGGTAAGACTGGAAGCAACACGATAACCCTGAATCTGCATTTTTAAAGGCTTTAAAAGTCCTATCGAAAGGTGTGCCGCTGCAAGATAAAGCACACAGTTTTTGAAAAGGAGACTTTAATCCATTAGATATATGCCATATAAATAGCTCTACTCTGCTAGACCTGAAGCTTGAACTGGAAGAGAAGTGCTGTTTCCATTTTTTTATTTTTCCAGTTATCTTGTTCTACAGCTTTCTACAATATAGTCCTTAGCCAGCACAGGCCTACATTTAGGCAATTATTTTCCTTTACTCTTAAAAGAAATACAATATTTGATGGTGGTGAATGTGCAAAGCTCAGAAATTGCCAAGGCTTACTCCAGAATCTTATTACACTCTTCCACTTTCTCATTTGCTGTATAATTACGGACAATTAGGGCTGAGAGCACCAAGGTCAGTTTTGCTCCTTTAAGTGCTTTTGCCATAAAAGCGCTCTATTTTAGTCTTGCTGGTGCCGTGTGTTCAAATAAAAGTGGCATACAGGGAAAAATATGTAGGCATTTGATTCAGTCAAAGCAAAGTTAGAATATACGTTCTTCAAGTGCTCCAAATCCCAGAGCAGGCCCTCTGTGGGCATAAAACCTCCCAGGTGAGGGCCATGCTTACAGCACAGCTAGCATGTAAATAAAAAGCATTATTTATTAGATGAAGAGCCAAACATGTTCTTTTCCTGTCCACTTTGCTTGGAATGTCCCTTTTTGGAGGCAGGCCAGCGTGTGCAGTGTTCTGGCTGGTCTCCACACATGTATTGCAAGGGCCTGGCCATTCAGAACCATTATAAAATCACGACTCACCCTTGTTCCTTTCTCATTGTGATTCCTTGAGAATGGGTAAAACGCACCCAGCTGCATCCAGCGAGCACACAGCTCATACTCCGAGTCTTTGAAGAAGCCACAGATATCAGCTCCTGTCTGAAAGTTTAAAAATGACCCACTTGGAATACTATAAATTCATGTGCAGCATGAAGATAATTAAATGTAAGGTAGTAACTCATTAGCTTACATAAGATATTCCAAAGAGGCTGAACTCCATCTTACCTAAAAGGAAAAATAAGTCCTTACATTTTCCTCTCTTTGGTATGCTAATAGTTGCTTAGACAATACATATTCAACAATTAACTCAATTCCTCAAACACTTTAAAAAAATGTTTTATTATGTAAAGCCTTGTCCATTGCCACAAAGTACCTAGATCTGTAGTCACTTCAGAAACAGCAAGATGACATGATATCAATATGAAATGATGAACATGGATTTGTCTAGAAGCAAAATATTAAACCAGCTATCTTCTGCTTGGAGCAGGCAACAGGCCTGACAGTTAAGGAGTGATTACCAACGTGTGTGACAACCTTTGCATTAGCTGATCTCTTGGTCTGAACACATTTGGTTTCCTCGTGAGCAGAAGAGGTTTTGACCAGAGGTTAGTAACCTTTTGAGCATGGTGGGACTTATTTTTCATTCCCACATTAAAGGCAAAAACCTACAGGGCAGAAAACATACAGGCACTTGGGTTTGGGGGAAAGAAGGAAACTGCTAGCACCAGACAAGGACTGTCACGGACTTTTCTAGATACTCTGACAGTAAACCCCTATGGCCTTGATCACAATCAATACACTAGGAGGGGAGACTGCGGCTTGCCGATGACTCAGGAGAAGAGCTCCTGAGTCTCTGGAGCTGTGGGTGTGAATGAGTTGGATGAAGAATCGATCCACCAATTAACCCGATTACCTAAAAAAAAAAAAAAAAAATCTTAAATGAGGCCATGGCCATCGCCACAAAGTACCTGCAAAGGTAAACAAGTATAATTTAGAAAAAAATAATAAAATTAGCTGAGTTTGTGGGAATTTGTGCTTTCTAGTTGCTCTCCAAGGATATGAGCACCTTTCTCAGCAGCCTATGCTGTTCGTCTGCACTATGGGACTGGCACGGATGCATTCCTGGAAAGCTACACTGATTAAATCGCTCTGCTCTCCAATGCTGGCTCTGCAATAATTGCCTAAACAGCTGCTTCAATAAGGCACTATTTATTTATTTTTCTACAGGATTTGCAGCTTTAGTGACACTATAATTACAGCAAAAATACACAAGTCACTTAAATTACCGTAGCAATTAAACCAAACTAATGTGCTGTAATTATTTCTTCCAAGACAAACAGTAAGTTTTCTAGTATCTTTTGTTTCTTTGTAATGCACTACCAAACATGTTCAGCCTCTGCTTGGTTTGTCCTACTTCAGCAATGCTTTGGAAACTGCAGCTAAAGTTTCGAATGTGAAGGCAGTGTGTGTTGTGTGTAGAACTGCTCCAGGACGAGCACGGTCCAAGTGTTTTGCTGACTGGAGGTGCCAGCTCTCTGCCTAGGGGCTGAGCCACAGCTGTGTCCATGGAAAGCGGTTCCTCACGTCTCAAAGCCCAAATTCACCTCCAGACGGTCACTGCGTTCACAAGTCAGGGTTCTGGCTTTCAACTCTGTGCAAAAGTCTCATTATGAAAGGATTGCGTTAAGCTGATATCCAGAGGCCCCCTCTGTCTAATGGATGGAGAACACAAATTACATCGTTACATAAAAATTTACTGTTCACTTTTAAGTTATAGGCTTTAGTGAGCTTTACATGCAGGCGATCTGCCTGTTTGGAAGGTTTAATATTAGCACAAATGATTACTATGACACGTCTTCAGCTGCACAACTACTCCTTCAGTTAGTACCAAAGAATAAATTGGGAGCTGATATAAATATATGTGTGTGTATATATATATATATTTTTAAAACTCATATATGTGTATAAATTTCAAGTGTGAGAATGTCTGTATAAGCTGTGTAATTTATCATAGCAATTTCAGTTATGGTGCTTCTCAAAATGGAAGAAAATATTTCACTACTTTTCAGTTCATACTTCATACACAGAAAAGTGCTCCTCTTCTTGCTCAGTTATTGTCTACTTAGACTGCCCAGATCACATGTGATTTGGCTGATGGCAGAGGCATCAGACATTCCTCCCTGTCCTGTCAGCAGTTTTGCTCCTGCCCTGCCTGGCAGCCCTGCAGTGGCATGCTGGCCAGTGTAACATCCACTGGGTCAAAACTGCAAGCCGCCTTGGTATTTTCTTTCTTTATGGCAATATCAAAGTTACCAAGGGCTTTAAGGTCATTAGACCTAGAAACCAGCACTGTTTCCTTGCTTACTCATTGAATTGGAAATGAAACAGCACATGACTTATCTTTAGATCAGACTTTATCTAAAGCAGACTGGGGTACTATTCAGAAAGGAACAGATAACGACGTTTGCCTTGGAACTGGTAAAATAAATTCTTAAAAGGAAAGACTCATGCACACAGTTTGCATTTTAAAAGTCACTGTTTCCCCTTTTCACTACTACTCAGTTTGTTCTAAATAGAGGATTTTTAAAGTTTTCTGTATTCTGGACACTGATATAAGTTAGTTTTTGATGCCTGTCCATTTTAAGGCAACACACTTATTTCAGTATTATTAAATGAACAATAATGAATTATAGTCTAAAAAATTGTGTATTAAAAATTTTGGAATAGAAGTAGAATGATTAATGCAAAATTAAACTGTACAATCATGATAATGCCTATAGGCAAATTTAGCTGTGTACTAATAAAAGGTATTTAGTTCCAGAGTTTCTGGTTGACGTTACACAAACTGATTGATATAATTTAATTATAAAACCAAGTGCAGAATTACAGGATAAAAAAAGATGTGAGCTAAGAGGAACAGCAACTACTTGGTTAGAAGGAGAAACATGTTTAGGCCAAGGTGCTACTGTCTGGAGAATATAAAATTGACTATAAAAAGCCCTTATAAATTCCATAAACAAGACTATTATTAACAACGGGACATTACATATTCATAGAAATTCTACAATGACATTACCTTAAATTGCAGCATGTTGTTGAGATGATATTTCACCTCCAAGTGTAGTGTACTAATTGGTGTAGTGAAATTGTCGGTAGCTCTGGCCTTGGCACTGTTGAAGGTGAGATTGGCTGCCAACCCTGATGAGGTGTATTCTACTTCATGTACAGAGTAAGCATTGTCAGAGCTGTAATAACAGGCTGGAACATCCAAGGCTGATGTTACTGGCTGCAGACAGAAAGAAGTTACAGGTTAGTGAGCTACACTGGCCTGCTGTATTCTTTGTTAGTTATTAGGATGGAATCCAAAATGACCATCTTTATCAGATAGCTGTGAAATATAGAATTTTGGGAAAAACTTGCTGCAACTAGTGAAGAACAAAGTAGTAATATAGAACCCATTGATCTCTACACTAAATCAGATATAATCAAATAATCCAGTGAAGACTGTAGAAATAGTTCAGTCAGGAAACGGAATCTTTGCACAGTGAAGGTGGGTTTAATCTCCCTGTATCTGTGATCTTCAGCTCAATCCCACAACGTGGCTTAGTCTTGGCCTGTTGTAATTCCTAAAGCTTCCTCCTTTTTAATCCCGTTGCTCTCTGGTCTCTAGCTCGCACGAGAGTATGTGCCCCAAACTCATTAGATATTCAGACAACATCAGATGAAATGTTTTCATTGGTTTCATGCACACAAATTACCCTTAACATACCCATTGAGAATTACATCCTATTTATCTCAGATCGCCTGACAGCAAGATCAAATACTTTCAGTTTCCTGCTACAGTTCAACATAAACGCTCAGGCTAGGTATTCTGAGGTTAGAGGAGCTGATGCAGGCTAATGCATTAGCCTTCCACCTCTGCACACTTACCATCAATCCTGCCTAGTTGTTCCAATGAAACTGTGCCTGATCCACACTTCTTAATTGCTAATGAGTATTTACTCATCTGTTGTCACCAAATTCAAAGCGCCTTTCAACCTGAGCAAGTGTTCAAAGCACACCCAGTCAAAAACAGCACCAGAGCTGGGTTTCACATGAAGAGCCATTTCCAAATGTCCAAAATTACAGAAAAAACCCTAACAGTGTAACAAAATGTCTGGGTTTTTTGCCAACAGCTGATCAATATGCTCAGATCATAGTGATCTGTCCATCTGACTGTCCATCAGGCACTTCAGCTGTTGCTGGTCCAAGAATAGCTAGCAGAGAATTTTGGTCTTCCTGCCTATGAGATGTGTCCAAGCTGTAAACTTTAGATTTAGAAGAGCATGGAGTGATTTAGCTGGAAGGATCTTCTCAAGTTCAGCCCTGCCAAGGCACACTGCTCCTATATGCCAGGAGATATTAATAAGTAAACCCACGTGGTAAAGAACTGCATGTTGGGGACTATGATCTGGATATGCCTCCCTCAGCCTGGTCATAAACAATTAGGTTCATACATGAATCAGAATTTCTGCGGGATTCAAGGATTTCTTCTCAAATAGATCCCGACGAATTGGTTAGACTTAAAATGTGTTTCAGTGACTATGAAGGCAAAAGAAAAGGGATAAGGCTTGCAGGCCATGGTGCCAGTGAAGCAGTAAAGGTAGCTGACGACACTCATTTCAAGACTAATCTGTTTTTTCGTGACTCCATATTATTTCGTTCCGTCTTTTGAACAGTACGACATTTATCCTCAATTTCCGATATACTTTGGAAGAGCTTACACAGTTGCCATTTACCTCAGTTTTAGTGAGAAAAATTAAATCTGCTAGTACAGGCCTGCTGCTGCCTGTACCCCCATTCTATCTAAATCAGGCAAATCTACCAGATGACTGTTTCCCCTGTAACAACTATAAAGAGAAGAAATGTTTCTGTCTCATTATTTTAGAGAAATCATTCTAGACACAGCCAAGTTCTTCACATTTTTCTTGTATTTGATCAGGACTGGGATAACAACTAAACCTTTTGTGGATATTTATACAAAAAATATGTTATGATATTATTTGGGATCCTTGTCATATCTTATCTCCAGAAAACATTGAATAGAAACACTATCTGGACTTCACTCTGCCATAAATTTAACCTGCCAAGGCAGTTTCAGTTTTAAAAAATTCTAAAAATAAGACTTTTTCATGAAGCAGATTCTGTGGGTTCAGATAGGTGTAGCTCTTCCTCTCACTTTTTGGAAACATTCGACTGTATTATTACAGTCTACAAAGTGTTTTTTTGAAATTCCTAATATTTTAAAAATGCCAAATACTACACTCACCTCTTTTCTGACTTGGTTTTAACTGCCACTGATGCTTTATAGTTCTCTTGCTCAATAAATATTGCTGCTGAGTTTGTTATGTAAAAGGAAACCGGAGTTCTTCAGATACTTCTATGAATTGGGAGAAGAAAAGACAATGTACAAAGAAACAGCATTAAAAGCACGACTTTGCCACTGCTAGAGACCAATAAATTGTTAATTATTATCTTTACTGCATTCAGAAGCTGCACTGAGCAGATTCTCTACAAACTGCAAAGTAATATAAAATTATCTTTTTCAATGACAGAAAAAATGAGTTTCTATATTTAACATACTGTCAACTGAAGTACTGAGTTTACTTTATCCAGTTTTACTGGTGGTATCACCTTGTTCTCAAGTTCTGATTCTTATTTTGTATTCTTTTAAAGCTCAGAATTTAAGATTCCTTATGTTCACCCATTTCTAACAGAATGCAATTAAAGCCTTTTCTTTTTCCCTGTTCACTGGGAATGTGGGAGGTTATTTGCCATCATAACAGCCTTTTACTTTTTCAAAATTTCTGTAGTATTTCCTCTCTTCTCTTGCAGTTTAGATAACACAACTTTCTCCCATGAGACATGTTTTCTAGACCTGTAACTGTTCTTGCTGTTCTCTTCTGGTGTCCTATTTGCCTAAATCTGTGCAGACATATAAAATTTGTAAGCAGATTGTGCTTTCCAGCTGTGGCCCACCAAAGTTAAGAGGAATGATTACTCATTGATTTTCCCCTATATCCCTAAGAACAGATTTTCTGGCCAGAAACCCACTTTCCACAGGAATGAAGGAATGTAAATTACACATAAATTTATGTATATTAAAAGTATATGTCATAGTACCTTGACTTAGTTTCCTCTCTGTGCATGTTTTCTTCTTCAGGCCAAAGACGAGCTCATGATTTAGCCAGGTTAAGCACTCACTGCAATTTCCATCTGCAAGTTTTCAGCTTTGCTCTTACTATTGTTTCTTTGAGGAACTCACAGTTCTCTCACACTTCTTTTCTCCTTAGGCCAGTATCCCAGGAGATCCAAAATTTCAAAAAAAATTTTTTTACATGTTCTTTTCTAAAATATACTGATTTTTTATTATTTCTTCTTAGCTTCTCTTAAATATAGATGTATGGCTCAAAGTTAATGCTTTAGAATACCCTAAGTGCTTTTCACGTGTAAATGACAATGATATTAATAATCTATGACATAGAATCACAAGACAGGATATAACAGGCCACCAGGAAAAAGAAATATAAAAGTTTAGTCAATGTGGCATTTTTTTTCTATGTAAAAAAAGAAAAATACTGTCATAATAAGCAAATTGTAAATGGTTTTCCTGAAAATACTGCAACTTGTAAGTTTTGGGAAGAAAATAAAATCATAAGATGTTTTATTGCTTTGTTTCTCAATAGAATTGAGGACAGTAATAGCTTAGTTATTTTAGGGCTTGACAAAGGAGTACATATAGCTGTCACCCATACATATAGCAACCACTCAAGGCCTTTGATATTTATGGCAGCAATACTCAGCCAAATCACAGCTCTATTTCTTGAAAGCATCTCAAACTTTCACAAAATTTAAAAAAGTAGAGACTTGAAAGTTTTTCTGAGAGATACATTTGCTATAGTTTAAATAAAAAGGGAGATATATAGGTCAAATGCACAAAGTTTTCGAAGATTTTTTTCTTTCCAATTAGTTTTCTAATATTGCCACCACTTTAACTCTGGAGAACATGTATCTTACTTTCTGGCATTTTCTGTAGTTGTCCCACTAACAAACTGCACAATAACCTGCACCAGGACGCACCAGGACTTTCTCCTGCAGGGTGCAGAAACCCTTCAGAGTATAGACTTCTGAGATTTCTGATGTACATTTCCTACTAGGAAGTATCTGGGAGATATCAAGGAGACGGTGAGAGAAGCTCAAGACTTTGGCAGAGTTGCTCTGGTCAATGGAGCTGGGTGTTTCCTAGCCATGCCCTCTCCAGTTTACTGTCCTGACTTTCTCACGGGGCAAAACCTTGTGGTGTCAGCTGAGGCATGGGAAGTGAAACAATCACATTTTCCCTTCTGCTGCTTTTGTTAGAAGGACAGTGTCCTCCAGTAGAGTACAAGGGGAGATGAAGTTTTGAGTCCCAAGAGTCGCTTGCTTTCTTGGAAGTATAGTCAGAGCCCTGGGGCCTGCACAAGTGAAAAAAAGAGACTGTGACTAAGGATGAAGGTAGCTTTTAGCAACTGAAAGATGAACCAGAGAAAACGGACCGCTTAAGTATCGAGAAGATGGTTAGTTGCATCAGCAAACAGAGGTAAGAATGCACCAATTTGAACACCACGTGTGGACCTGCATGGTTAGACAAAATAAATTCTTGAACCACTGTCTGCAGGATGTGGACCTAAGTTTCAGGATTATAAGTTAAACATGCACGTCTTATTCTAGTGTTATCTATTTTTACCGCAATGGTAATATTACTGCAAATTCATTTCATTGTACATTCTTACTGTTACAGTTTTCCTATTTTTTAAACTCCATTTTACTCCAAAGTAGCTAAGGAAAGCTCTGACACTTTTGCCACTGACAGCAGTCTATGGATACAATAGGACTTGAATTAGAGATGACCGAGTCCACTTGAAATTAAACAGTGTTAACTGGTATAAGTCATAAACCAAAGTCCTCTAGCTATGAATGTTATGGTTCCTTGCAAATAAAACAATAAAATCTGTCAAATGCAAGTCCCTAAATCATCTAAATACAAGCTTGAGTATTTTGTAAAAGTTCTTCAAAAAATCATTTCAAAGTAACCCTTTGAACTGCTTGATGACTTTTCTAAAAAGTATGTAATAAAGGACAAAGGCTGCAAAAGCATCCTAATGGATTCAGAGTACCCTAAATCCTTTTAGTTTAATGAAAACAGGGTGTCTAAGTAAATCCTCAGAAATCCCACAGAAAATCCCACAGTTTGAGAAACCTAATTTTTCAAAATTTCCTTCGTCTCAAGATTGAAATGAAGAATATAACTATGGATATAAACCAGACAGGTTACATCCATTGCTCTACAATGAACTCTACTTTCCTTAGACATGCATGTATTCCAAAAGCATTAACTTTACTGAAAGTCAAAATAAATTTAACCTGACATTAGAGGTTAGTGGTGTGATTGTTTGTTTGTTGGGTTTGGTTTTTTTTTCATTTTTAACTTGAGTAGAATTAAGTTGTGACCTTAATCTTACCCTAAGTAAAAAGGGTACGTGTGTTTTAAATTGTTTGACAGATCAATGCCAGTTCACCACAAGAGGTGTGGTTGACAGACCTTGGCATAACCATGGTGACCATCGCAGGGGGAAACAAGTTCTCCGGCAGCACTACTAAAGGCGAGGTTGGCAACATGACAAATGCAGCCCGCACACACTTACTTGCGTGTCTGTGCACCAGTATGCCGTGGAAATCAGATGGCGTAAAACACGTTGGCTCCAATACCATACTTTGAGTTAACAAAATTTCTACTGTTTTCACAAGCAATTTACATAATTCCAGAGAGTTAATAACAGTGCTAGTTTTTCATATTCTACCAATTCTTAGTGTCAAACACTAATTATGTGCATTCTTGCACCCGTTGAAACAAATTTGGGCATATACCAGAATATATATCAATCTTGACAGCAGGGCTTAACAGTCAGCACACGAATGTCCCAAGCCTTTACATACTTAAGGCTATAGGAAACCTAAACAGGAAAAAAATAGATCAATAATAGTTACATTTTCCACTTAATAGTGGTGAAAAACTATTAGCATACAAGCAAACACTAATAGCGTGTTACGACAATGTCTTCTTCTTGCTCCATGAAATCAGTAGGAAGACTGAAACGTTTTAGGTATTAATACCTTGTTAATCAGACTTCTTTCAGTGCTGATAACTGCTCACCTGTAGATTCTCCATCATCCCAGAACAAGTCTCCAGAAGCTGCACTGTTGTCATCCAGGGCAATTATAAGTCCCATTGGATTCTTACGGCTGCAGAAAGAGAGCCTTTATGTCTTACATGTAGATCAAATATCCAAACAGTCTTAATACACCCTTCATGTTCATGCTAAGAATGGGACACTCAGCAGGGTTGCAATACTTTGAAAACTGCCTTAGGCGAGTCCTTGATTGCCTTTCATTTTCATGTAAAGAGATTAAAATACAAGGCAAGTTTAGAAAATGCCATGCAAATAAACCTGTAATTAATCACTGAACCTGTGGAAATGAGTTATTGCTCACAGCTATTCCCATATTTCAAGGTGAAAATGCTAGATGCGATGCACTGCTACTGATTTGAAAGTCCTCAGACCAGTCTTGAAAAATACCCCCAAACCCAAACAAAAGAATTTCATTTGGAAGCATACCTTGCAACTGTTGTGTTAGCTGGATTTTGAGTTGGGTAGATATAGCCTCCTCTCAAATGAAGTCCCATTTTGTCTTCTGGAAGGTACAGGTCTGTCCATTCTTTTCTCACTGAGATTTTTGCCCCCTTATTGACAGGAACGGAGAAGAGAACAGGTGCATTGCATTACTCACTGCTGCGAATGTTTTAAGTCCTGAGTCTTGTCTTCGTGCTTCCTTTTAGAAATTGCTTTGCCAGTAGAGTTTACAGGTCTGGTCAAGACAGAAATGTTCAGAGTAGAACAGGAGCAGAGCAAATTTCCTGGGGTCCTCAAGGAAATAGCAGAGTCTACATTTGCGATTCAGCTTGTTCAGTGT